GTTTTTTAAAGTGGAATTGAAACGCGTGAGCAGCATAATTTTGGAAATTATTTTCGCTCATACCACAATGTCCAGGTAACCACGGAAAGTCAATGTCACAGCCTTTTTGTATTAAGAGGTTGGGAATGTTTCGTGGCCTGATATGCCAACTGGTCGAGGCATCCGCGCCAGAGAACTGACCGCAGGCACTGTGACGCTGGTTTCGAGTCAGAAAGTAGCCCATTACTTGGGCTTTCATCAGAAACGATGAGTTCCTGTGCATTACGCAGAGCCGCGAGTTCTGCCGCCTTGGACGTCGTCGCATGCAAATCTTATTTGAAAAAAAGGTAGGGAGGTTAACCAGAATTGCAGTATCAGGTTTCTTAGCCTACACTAAGTGTGGGGAAGGGAATGTGAGAAAACGTAGACAGAAGTTAACGCGCGAAAGAAAAACAAACTAGAGCGGAGGAGCTGTATCCTATTCCAACCAAGAGTTGCCGTTCAGTTGAAGAAACTGTTGGTAACTGCGGAAGAATGCATACAAGATCACGGTGACATGTCTTCTCAGGATTCAGCCACCTTGTCTTTTGATAACTTTTTGTTTTTGCTGCAGTTTTATTTAAAGTCTACTCTTATTGTGTTTTACAAACAGTTGTTTTTGCAAAGCGATGTCTTACGCATAGGGTCTTCTGTAAGCCGTGTATGGCGTGACTATTCCTCTGTCGAGGCTGGCAAGACTCCAGAAGTAGTTTGAAATGATGAGCTCTTCTTAAAAAATAGTTTAGGTATGTTGATCAGCTTGAGCGTTCTTCAAAAAAAAGAAGGCCCGACTTTGCAGACTCTTATACAGTATGTAATGTTTGATCTGTTTTTAAACTTGACTTGCGTTTTATGAACTTGACTTATAAACTTGACTTGCATTTTATGTACAGGCTCCCCAAGCGTTCGGTTTGGCAGTTTTATACTTAAAAATAACGTTCTGCAATATACATGCCTGCTCTGGCTACTACCCAATGCCCCGCTTGACTCAGCGCATTATAATAGTATTAGGAGAACTATAGCGTTGATGTGCCTGGGGCCTGCTTTCAAAAAGGATGCGCAGCTTTGAAAATCAAGTATGCCATCTTTCGGTTGCAGTGTTCTCCAAATGGGTCTTTACTGGTGTTTTTGAAACCCTCGCTTTCAAAGGTAAACCGGGAATGGAACATGCGATGACAGAGGGACACCGGGAGACTTTTAGGCATGGGGTCGTGTCACATGTTTATAAGCTTTACCACAACTTCTAGAAGGTGACAAGTAGACACGTGGTTGCTATGTGTTTCTCTGCCACCAATGGGCGGGGAAACTTGTGCCCACCTCTTTGCAACACCAGTAAACGTGAATGCGAGCGAAGCATACAGCGCTGTTCATTAAGTGTTCCACTGGAGGAATGCATTCCATTCTCATGCGATGCAATATGTTCTACGTTGGAGAGACCGGAAGCTGTGTCAATGACCGTTTTGAGGAACACCCACAAAAACGGCAAAAGCTCGATGACAAGTACGCACACTTAGTTGAGCATATTAGTAAGTTCACCGGATGTGTGGCCCGTTTTAAATGGCCGACTATTCTATGCAGGAGCGATGACAGTACTGAAAGTGTCATTTTATTAAGAGACTTGATAAGAAGTGCGTCACCCTCCTCCCCGTTTTGTGATGTTTGAAGCGAGCTTCATCAGCTGCATGCGGCTGTTGGGTCCTAGATTGAAAAAAAAAATCTTTGGTAACGTTTGAAGATTCTGGCTGGCTTTTTGCGTCCTTGCCGCTAAAAACCTTGTTACGTATTTCTTTCTCCTTGTTATTTTTTCACTCTGGCATGTAGAGTGTGTTTGATTCGACCATTAGAAAAAAAAACTTTTGCAAGTGAGGTGTGCTTGTCATCTCTTTTGCGGGAGCATGTTCGCATTGGTAATCTCTCGCCTGACAATCAACCAACTTACCAAAAAAAGTTTTGGTGCGCTACTGAAAACAGTCCACACAGGAGCTGTATTCATTGTGCTAACAAATACATTAAAACTTTTATTTATATTGAATTGCACACAAACCGCAGGCCGTATCGACCAGACTCGTTCTGGGTACCATCAACAGTGGGCTCACTCTTTCTCTGCCCAAACAATGCGTCCGAGCTGGTGTCTCTCACAAATAGTGATGACAGTACATTGTCCTGTGAGTAGAGTTAACTTGCCAAGTTCAGAAAACTTGCTTGAGCCAATAGATGAAAAACACCAACAATACACCTTAAAATCCATGACGTGAAGTCTGCAGATTTACTCGCTAAATTCGAAAAGAAAAGTTACGTATTGCTTTCCCGCTCTTTAACATACAGGTTAAAATGACATTGGTGACCTGCCTATCTCAACACATCTATATTTTGACCTTAATGTCCATTCAGACTGGCATGATGGGCACAATATTGGCTAGAAATATAAAAAATTGACAGAATCTACCTACACTTGGAATCGATGATATGCGAAGCACGAATGAGGAAGGCTGGTCCTCCCTCATTATATACTCATATGCCACTTTAAAATCAGCACAACGTTACGACGTCGACGTAAATGATGTCGTACAAACTTCTACGCCATGATTACATTGTTTAGCATGTAATTTACTTTCTTGGTCTATTCACGTCACGTGATACCAAGTTAGCCATATGTGGGACTAGCGAAACGGCTGCGAGCACGCTATGAGCGTAGTAAGTAGTCATGTTTACATGACACGCATGTCGTGATTATCACGTTTGTACGTGTCATCTACCTTCGTCGATCGTTTGCCTCACGTAATACTGAATCTCGTATACGTTAAGCTGGCAAAACGGCTGCAAGTGCATCGTGAACGTGGCTGGTAGTCATATTCAAAATGACCCGCATTTCATGATTATCATGCCCCGCTGCGGTTGTTTAGTGGCTAAGGTACTCGGCTGCTACCCGCAGGGCGCGGGTTCGAATCCCGGCTGCGGCGGCTGCATTCCCGATGGAGGCGGAAATGTTGTTGGCCCGTGTGCTCAGATTTGGGTGCACGGCAAAGAACCCCAGGTGGTCTAAATTTCCGGAGCCCTCCACTACGGCGTCTCTCATAATCATATAGTGGTTTTGAGACGTTAAACCCCACATATCAATCAATCAAGTCATGATTATCATGTTGCACCATAAACTTTCGTCATCCTTTCACGTCCCGTAATACTAAATTTTGTATATGTGAAGCTAGCAAAACGACCACGAGTGCACGATGAGCATGGCGTGTACTCATTCATAATCTACATGACATGTATGTCGTGACTTTCGGGTCTCTCTCTAATGTTCACCGTACAGTCATGTATACCATACCAGTTTTGCTATATATCATGCGAACGAAACCACCGCTAGAGCAGCAAGACCATGAAATGTAAATCATGACATTCATGACAAACATGTAATGAATTTTATGTTATCACTTGTTGCTTAAGGTCGTCATACAGTCTTGGTATGACATACCAAATTTGGTATTGACACCTTCATCGAAACAGTCCGGAAAGCTAAACGTCGTAGGCGGCCAGACAGACAGACAGACAGACAGACAGACAGACAGACAGACAGACAGACAGACAGACAGACAGACAGACAGACAGACAGACAGACAGACAGACAGACAGACAGACAGACAGACAGACAGACAGACAGACAGACAGACAGACAGACAGACAGACAGACAGATAGATAGATAGATAGATAGATAGATAGATAGATAGATAGATAGATAGATAGATAGATAGATAGATAGATAGATAGATAGATAGATAGATAGATAGATAGATAGATAGATAGATAGATAGATAGATAGATAGATAGATAGATAGATAGATAGATAGATAGATAGATAGATAGATAGATAGATAGATAGATAGATAGATAGATAGATAGATAGATAGATAGATAGATAGATAGATAGATAGATAGATAGATAGATAGATAGATAGACAGTGCGTAGGTCACGCCTGCTTTCTTGCATTGAAGTTGCTTGCTGTCATAGTCAAGAGATGATGCCTTAACATAGTCGCGAGGACCCACTTACTGCCAGTAGCCAGAAATATAGCCACTGAGGCCGGAGCGTGGATGTTATTCGAGTACGTCGTCATCAGTAATGCAGTTTGTGTACCATAATGGTAATTGTGTGAGAGCAATATTATCTGTAGTATTGAAATAACGATTCTTGGATATCCCAGAACATCATAGACACCTTGCAACCAGCTGCTGCTTTCAATTTTTTTGTTAAAACAATTTTTCGATGAAAGTTACAGGTTTCCATAAAAAAATGCTTTGTCGAAGCTCTGTTAATATAATTTGCCGCGATAATTTCATTTTTGGGGTCTCTTCACCCTACAAGCTCCACTTGCAAAGCTGCTTGGCCATCAATATTAATGTTCATGCTGTGTTGAGTTTTAGCCTATCCTAGTTGATATTTTGTTGTTGTTGGCATCCAGATGTCGCGTTACGTCAGAGTAACGGAGTTGGGTGAGGTAACTAATAACGATTAGGACTTGAGCACTTCAACTCACGAACTTCACCACATCACTTCAACAGAAAAGGATGTGAACCTTCTGATATTGGCTGTTTGCAGTAATTGAGTGAGATTAATTGGTGCACGTGATACTGTTTTCCTTGCCGTGGTTAGATATCGCAACGTTCGCTGATTATTACATCAGCGAAAAAACTGTCATCCTTTCTTTGTGGAGTTATAATGCTATCATTTGTTTCTTGTATTGAGACAATGTCAATTCTGTAAAAGTCTGAGAAATGGTTGAACTCAACCTGCTGATGTCAGCTTTCAACCCCGCATAGCGTTTCTTGCCTGTCCTAGAAGTATAATGAAAGTTGAAGCGGCTTTTTAGGTTGGCATCTTTTATAAATATCCTCCTACCTTGCTGTCATGCGCTGACTGTGTATCATGTGCACTAGTTATCCACTGTCAACATTTCCTAGTCAGAGCTTTTCGTTTGTTGCGCAGTGGCACCTTGGATACAAAAGCCTCGAGTACACGCCAACTGGGCGTGGTTTCGACACATTTTTCGGATACTACAACGGTTTGGAGTACTATTACAACCACTCGGCCCAAAAGGTGAGTTTATGTCATCCACGTCGTTTAACGACGCCAGTGAGCAAGATTTTGTCTTATTTATCAGCCGAGCACGCGCTCTGACAAAAGTTACAAATTCATAGTACGAACGTGACAAGTCCGATAGATGCGTCTGCATCCCATCAGCAACTGTAACACCCAATCGTACATGACACGAATGAGCACACGACGACTGCGAGCCTTATGAGTGTTGACTTATTTACCGCTACGTGGGCAAGCTCGCCGTCTTATCTTTTACTTAAACGTTAGGTGTTTTTAAGGGGTGTCTGTTCACATGAAATGCCCCTTGCAGAGCAGAAAAGACGATATCCTAATTAGGTTATTCATTCATCTCATTACATTTTTTTGTAATAGTGCATCTTGATGGCACGGTATCATGATGTTTATTTTTCAAATTTTCTTACACGGCACAAAATACCGTCGTAATATGCTCGTGTTTGTATGTTTTTGCATATGACAGTGATATTAGTGTAAAATATTTCCACTGAAAACGCCCGTTTCGATCTAATTGGCAATAAAAATTTGGCGATAAAAAAAATAGCTTGGTTAATTTGTCCACATTTAGCTTGAAATGTGGCTCCTTTTCTAATATACCCGATGGCAATGCTGCCGTTTACCTTCCGCTTCAGAAGAGCTTCTCACGGTGTGTTGTAACAGTCAGTCATAAGGGCCAGCAGACAATCTGGTTCTAAATGAGCGGGTAGTATTCACCTCAGAAAGGGCACGTTTGAGGGTATGAAATGCGCCTGATCAGCAGTAGTAGCGCTTTTGTCGAGTGCTTGTCGCAAAGCTTGCAGTCATTTTGCGTCTGTCGTCTTGCCTGGATAATTTCGCAGTCAACTAAAATGCCTGAGTATAAATAAAACTTCAAGTAAACAGCTACCAAATTACACAACTTTTAGTCCTTATATCGCAAGACTCAAATCTTGCAGGTGTGCTACTTGAAGGCTAATTTCTGTGCGCATAGTATACGCTATATTAAAAGATCTTTCGGAAGCTACGAAGTCGAATCATCGAGTGGTACTTCAGTGGGTTCTAAGTCACTGCGGAATCAACGGAAATGAAATGACAGATGAGTCGGCGAAAACCGCTCATCATTCCACGTAAACGCGCCTCATTCCTGTAACTCAGTACGATGTAAATACAATTTTAAAAACAACAAAACGTGAATTATGCTTGTCTACTTGGTTCACAGGCAAAACAAAGGAAGTGATCTTATATGCAGTTGACCCTAATCTTGAATGCCGATTAAACCGTCGTCTCCCAAGGCGTATCGACACCCTCATACATCGCCTCAGACTCGGAACTGCTTACACAAAGCATTTCATTTTTCGTATTCAGTGTGCAACATCGCCAGCATGTTCAATCGGCCACGACGATGAGGATATCTATCACCTCTTGCTTGACTGTCCGGAACACGACACACACCGAAGGCGACTCGAACAGGAACTTCATAAGCCAGATCCCCAGCAGCCGTTAGGTAAAATACTCGGCCCACGGCCATCTAAAACGAATGGCAAGGCAATGAGGTGCTGTAACGAGTCTTCGAAGAAACAAAAACTTGTGAGCACTACTAAGTGGACTAAGTTAAAAGTAAACGTGGACCTACGTGTTTGTTCTGCACATAGGAAAACTTTTGCACTCACCTATGTGAAACTTTATATGTCTATATGTGAAGTTTTTTACTTTTTATTTGTAAGAATCAAACGGAAAAGTGTGGCTACCGCCAAGTAACGGTGACAACAACTCCATAGTCTATCTTTTATTTCATCTAAAAAACTAAAATCTATAAGACAGGCAAGTAAACTTAGCGTACCCTACTGGCTATCAGGTACCATAGGTTTCCTCAACAAAAACAATATTTTGATAATCCCGAGTATGCTTCCAATTTTTTCCTGCACATCGGTCTAATGTTCGCTCATATGTACTAGAACCAACTTTCCAGGACGGGAACTGTGGACTGGATTTCTGGCGCAACATTGGTAGCGAAATGAAAGCTGTCATTGACCTCAACGGCACATATTCCACGCATGCCTTCACCGATGAAGCAAGGCGTATCATCGTTGCCCACGACACTAGAAAGGTACATGTCAGTAGCACGTAATTATTAAACGATCTGTGTTTTACAACACAGTCAATCTGAGTGAAAAACGAGACTTTCTAGCTGAACCACAATTGCATCGCTTGAAAAAGTCTTAGTTACGTTTTCTTGATAATTTTCAAGCAAAAAACTGGGTGGGAATAAGCCCAGACAGAAAGTGTGTGTCAATAAGATCTCTCGTTAACTTGCCACCAGGAAGTTGTCTCTTCATGCATTTTACTTTCTCCACATCTAAATTTCAAAGACCGCAATACGCTTCAAACAGTTCAATTGACGCCCCGTATTCCCTTCTTGGTGTATTTTTTATTTACTGTTTTCTATTTACGCACATGTGCAACAAAGTAGTCAGTGGAGCTGGGTGAAGGAAAAAAGCCTAACAAACGCGGCTTCAGGGGGACCTCACCTCCTTGGCTTCATTATCTGCAAGTTTTTATTAGGTTTTTTTTTTTGTGGCAAACGAACGAGCCCTCAGAAATTATCTACGTTCATTCTAGAATTTCTATAGATAGCATAGCGATGTAAAGCATACCACAGTATACGCTCAGGAAAGTTCAAAACGAGAAATGTGTGAATGAGAACCGGACAATGAAGACGGACTAGGGTAAAACATTATATATTCTGTGATGCACTCATAGTTGGGTGTGGACAAAGGGATGAGGCGAGAGACCATATTATATACATGTGGAGTACAGCAGGCACAACAAGAGGTATGCAACGAGAAGTGCGTTTCAAACAGCTCCGAGCATATCATAGCTTTGCATGGTAGAGTATTGCAAGGATGTGCGAAAGAAATGCGAGGCTGAAAAAAAGTGGTACCAAAGTGAGAAAAAAGGCGTCTACAACCATTTTTCTTTTCATGCGTTTTCGCGCTTGCCAAGCGTTGTGTCGTAGTAGGAGTGTACGTGTTTTCCAAATTGTGAAATTGTACTTTCCTAATACGCAAGGAGTCTGTTTCTTTGCAATTTAATGTATCGAGATCACGATGTGGTTGTGAGAGACACCATAGTGGTGGGCTTGGGAAAATACGAACATATGTTGTTCTCTAACGTACACTTACAAAACACAGTACAAGAATCGCTGGCATTGCCTTATGTCTAAACGCGACTGCCACGCCTGCATCAAACTTGTGACCTTCGTGTCAGCAACAGCGCATCAGAACTCCGACAAAGTAACAGTCACGACATGTCTACTTTTATATATGCAGCCCATGTTTCTGTACCTGAGCTATCAAGCCGTACACGCCAGTTGTGGGGACTGTACTGTAGAGGCACCGGAAGATACCGTGCAACAATTTTCTTACATTGAAGCATATAACCGTACGCTTTATGCAGGTAAGTTGAATGTAATAGGACACTAGACGCCTACTTCCCATTTCAGCCTTTTCTTGCATCTTACATAACGCAAACAGCAATGTTCAGTGTTTTTGTGCATTTCCTAGACATACTAAAGAAAGCTATAAACCCAATCACTATTAGGACAAATTTTGAGCGTTTTACGCTTTATGAAGTACTGTAGCTATAGCAGTAATTGCTTTCGTCTATATATCTCTTAGTTGGTGTGAGAGATTTTTGAATGATTAGCTAGATATTGTTAAAGTTGATCAAACGAAGAAGTTATCCAGTGATTGGATTGATATGTTAGGTTTAGCATCCCAAAACTACCCCATAATTATGAGAGACGCCGAAGTAGAGGGCCTATATATATATATATATATATATATATATATATATATATATATATATATATATATATATATATATATATATATATATTATATATATATATATATATATATATACATATATATATACATATATATATATATATATATATATATATATATATATATATATATATATATATATATATATATATATATATATATATATATATATATATATATATATATATATAAGGAAAAGAACTGTATACCTAAGGGCTTGTTTTTCCGTGTTTTGACACAATAATAATGAGTGAATCTAACAGACAATAATGCCAAGGAATGTACAAGGGAAGTTATTAAAACAAATGAAATGTAAATAAGAAGAAAGAAAAGCGGGTGAAAAAATAACCAGCCGGGAGCAGAAATTGAACCTACGACCTTCGAATAACGCGTCAAAGAGGATCGAACACGTTATTCGCGTTCGATGCTCTTCGACGCGGCGCTGCGGATGGCGTCGACCGCTTCAAGTACCCGGTACCGTTAAGAGTGGACAAACATGCAAATGTACAGACAGACAGGCAGACAGACCAAAATTTTTGCATCAAAGGCCCCCAAGAAAGAATATCTGTGACGTATGAAGCGATGGTTGGTAGAGGCAGAAAAGGAAGAAGTGCACGATGGAATACACATGGGCTGTGAGCCAGATCACGTCGCCTATTCATCATAGCGTCACACGAGTCGACAGGATGGAGACCTGCTAGCCCCTTCATCAGTCGCACATCATCGACAAGGTTCTCCGCAAGACACGCTAACCACACATGAACTACCATACGAGCGCCTAGCATTACGCATCGACCAGCATCATGTCAGAACCATCGACTGACCTTCCCATCCCCAAGTACATCGGAGCAGCGGACAATGAACCAGTACAGGACTGGTTCGACCTGTTCGAGCTCCACGCTACCAGTGCATCATGGTCGGAATGAGAGTTGGTTACAAACTTTAGCGACTACGTGACTGGTGAGGCATTCAAATTTTACCTTACCCACATCTTGGACAACAAGAAATCCTGGCAAAAGATAAAAGAGATGAGTACCCGTTTCAATGACTACGACAAGGACTTCTCTATTACCGACCATCTGGACACAATTGCTCTCAGCCGGCACAGTCCTCGCGCTTTTGTCAAGACACATAGCTTTACATCGGGTTTCTCTTCTGCACGAAAGTCGTTAGTTTTAATGTCGTCACTCCAGCGTGTGACAGGAGACGTTATTCACCCACCTGATACTCATCATTCTTCGTCTTGCATGCACGGTACACCGCCCGGTTTTTCATTACGAGGCTCCTCAAGTGCAAATAAACCAAACGCTCACCGTTTGCCTTGTAATGGCACCGTGTCCACGATAAGCGAACTGTCGACGCATCGAGAAACTACCCAACCCCGCCATGACGACTCGAAAATGTGTTTCTTATCACAAGACTTATTTCTATGGCTCAGCAGACTGTGCAGATTGAGCCTAGTAATGACACGTAACTTGTGGTATCCTCATCCAGAGCTCAGCAATCCAAGTACCGAAAGAATGCAGTAGTAATACAAACATCAAACCTCGCACGCAGCTGTCTATCAGAAGCGTTCATACTGGACCACTTTACCCGATCCTCTGAAGAGCATTTTAGCAATGATGACGCACTACCAACTATGACCGACCAGCAAGACACCAGCTCACTATGCATCAGCTGTTTACGAAGCATACCTTGAGAAAAAAGTGAGTGCCCAATTCCGAAAGGGGCTCCACTACAGTCATCTCCTGATCAACATCAGCAAAGCAAGCAAAGCGAAGTCCACAAACACATGCGACCATAAGAGAGACTGCAACAAAGGCATCGATGAACGCAAAATTCAACGAAAGCGCGTTCACCAATTGAAGAACATCGAAAACTAAGATCTCCAAACCAAAGGCCATTTGAAGACGTCAGACACTTTCGCACGTAGTAAAGTCGCCAGAGACGCTCCCTGCGCCTGCTATTGCAACCACTGCAACACCACAGTAAACGGCGAGAAAGACGCGGAAGCATTACTTGCAAACCGTAAGCACTCCAGCACTCTGTTACAATCTGTCGAGGAGCACGCACGCAAGAGGCATCGGGATTTCACAATGCACGACGCGAAATACAACCCCGACGACATCCGAGCTGCCGATGCAACAAGGACGTCCAACTTTGTTCGTTCTTCGCAGCTGCTGAAGCCGTGTCACGGTCAGTGTAGTTGTGCAGGACGCGATTATCTTCTCCAGAGCGCCACAGTCAGCCATGCCCACCAGAACTCCTGCGTTAACTGGACTGCTACACTCCTCCATGAAGTCTTTGAAAGTTTACGGAACTTCCCTGGACCATAAAACAAATTGTGAATTTTGACATTTATGGCTTTTCAACAGAATAGAATAAACATAGGGTATGAGCGAGACCACGTCGCCCATTCATCACAGCGTCAAATATTGCCTTTAAAAGAGAAAAGACACGCGTGATTCTCGTTTGTTTGTCTTTTGTCTTTTTCTTTTTTTTCTTGTTCTTTTTGAAGCATTGTAGTCATCATTGTAAAATCAAAGCAAAAACCATTGTAGTCATCATCATCGTTAGACGCGCGGTCTTCGCTGCTTGTGGCTCTCGCGCCTGCGCTGGAGAATACAGCGGTCGTTTCATCGTACCTGACGTCGTCTCACAAGTGGTGGGGGTGCTGTGATTCCAAAGTCCTCGTGCTCTACCAGTACCCACCGGATCTCCGGTCTGGTCGACGGCTGTGCTTCCCAACAGTGATGGCGCAAAACGACCCACCCCCTGCCGCCTTCTTCGCAACACCCGCTCAGCCTGCTGACCTCAATACACTGTGAGTACACCGCAACGTGTCCCCTCGGTATTTCACGGCCTTCGCGGAAAGTATGTCGACGAGTGGCTGGATAATTACGACAGAACAAGCACTTGTAATCATTGGGACGAGGCCCAGAAACTGCGCTACGTCGCCTTCTACCTCAAGGAGGTCGCTAAGACATGGTTCTACAACCATGAACGTGACTTTCCCGATTGGACTAGATTCAAGGTGCAACTCTGGCAGATTTTCGGCACATCTGCTGGATGCTCTGAAGCAGGCAAACAGAAACTCGCCACCCGCATTCAAGGGACGCACAATTCTTATACATCCTATATTGAGGACGTGCTGGCTGTTTGCCGCCGAGCCCAAAGTGACATGACAGAGGTCGACCGCATCCGTAACCTACTGAAAGGCGTCCACTCTTTCGCTTTTTATGCCCTCGCCGTTCAGACCCCCAATACAATTTGAGACGTCATCACTTCGTGTCAACGTCAAGACATGCTTTATTCCGTGCGCTTTCCACAGGCCTCCTGTGATACCCACTTTACCGAAGAGGCTGAATTACGAGCTCATATCCGCACGATTGTCCGAGAGGAACTTCATGGTATTGTTCCGGGCAACCCCATCGTTTTCACTGTCCGGCCTTCTGGTCCAAACCTGCGTAACAACATTAGGGATGAACTGGCATTGATGGCAAGCCTTACACAGGCCCCGTTTCTTGTACCGTTTCCTGCACCTTCGTACGCCGATGTTGCTTCACGGGCCCCTGCACCAGTTTTATCTGTGCCTGCTTACGTTGTATACGACCGCTTAGCTTCGATGGCAGCACAGGCGCCCGTACAACCACACTTTCCGACCTGGCGTCCTGCACGCCCGGTCTGCTTTACTGTGGCATACGGAGCATAAGATCGCGCTTCTACCATTGCCGCCAACAGGATGACGACGTAGATAATCAGCGTAACGAGACTTTGCCTCCAGATCATACGCCTACATTTCTGTCATATCGATCCTCCTCTCAGTGTTCGCCCTCCCCTCCACAGTTCTGAGGCTTGCCCCATTCTTTCCGCTGATCTCACTACCATTATCCGTCACAATTTCGGCGTTCGTCCCCACCCCTACGTTCTGTTCCAATCTCTATGGACAACCACCTGGAAAACTAGAGGCTGCAGTTTCTGAAGCAAAAACTGCCCGCCATACAAACGCAACCATTCCTCCGTCTCGCCCAGCAAATTTATTGCCTGTTTGTGTTGAAGGTGTTTGCGTTGACGCCCTGATAGACACTGGCGCTGCCATTTCGGCAATTCACCACAAATTGTGTTTTCACTTACGGAAAGTGCAGACTCCATATGTTGGTCCTGTCTTACGCGGTGCTAATGACAATCTTATTTGCCCTTACCGAAAAGTGTACTGCTCGCGTGCTCATCGACGGAATCCGTCATCATGTAGAGTTGGCTGGGACTTTCTATCAGCTGCGTCAGCTGTCATTTCGTGTGGTCAACCTCTTATTTGGCTTGTGGCCACTGACCATTCTTCTTCTTCCAATTTTTCATCGCCCTACAATGTTGCACCTGTGGAATTTCACCTGCCTTTTGGTCAAGAGCGCGTTCTTACAATCAGATAACGAGACTATATAGACGGTCAGCAGTGGCTATCCCTCGCCAGCACTGCATTCTTCACAGAATCGCCATTTTCTCTTGCATAGTGCGTTTCTCCTGTAGTTATGCAAGCATTACCGCCTAAGACCGCCATTACCGCCATTATACGTTCACATATCACTAAGATTGTTCTTATGCTGCCATGCA